CTGACATACATACTTAGATATATACAAATATATACATATATAAATAACATATGATAACTATGAATGTGGAAGGATATAGAAGGAAGAGGTAGACCTAAGAAGAAATGGATGGATTGCGTGAAAGACGATATGTGTAAGAGGGTAGTGAGCGAAGAAATGGTATATGATAGAGGAGTATGGAAGAAGAAAGCTTGTTACGCCGACCCTAGGTGACTGGGAGAGGGGCAGAAGAATGATGACCTATAGATAACAACCACACAGGCAAAGAGCAAACAAAATTATTCATCACACGAATGTTTGCCTGATGTGGGAATCGAACCCAGGACCATCGGCGCAAGTCAGGACCGGTAACTACTGCTCCACGGAGTCAGTCTTATTGGTGTAAACGAGCCCAGCCCACCGATCTCGATTGAATTGTCACAGCCTCCCTATCCATGAAGACATCTTGGATATCGTGATGCCGTCTCAAAGCTCTGCAGGCAATATACGCTTTCAGTAAGCTCTGATCTCGATATTAGTTCAAATTCTAAATAAGTTCAAAACTTTTTTACGCGACGCTCCAATAACGTGAGATAGCTTGACACAACGCAATATTAGGCAACGATAATATTACATAGGATTATATTTATTTACTAACTAGCGACCCGCCCTCGCTTCGCTTCGGAACATTAAATATTATTATTGATAGCTGAGTCCCACGATGTTACCCGCGGTTATTGTCGTAACGCGGGTGAAGCCGCGGGGCGAAGCTAGTGTAAAAAAAGTAACCTAAGTTACTCCTTATATCATCAGCTACCTATCAGTGAAAGTCTCGTCAAAATCGGTCCAGCCGTTCCAGAGATTAGCCGGAACAAACAGACAGACATAGACAGACAAAAATGGTAAATAATTTTTTTTTTGGTGTATGTACCGTATATATACCGCGCGGACTCACAAGATGCCCTACCACCAGTTAGTTATACTGTCCAAGCTATACTGACTTTGAAATATCTGTGGACTCTAGTTATTTTTTATTTGTTCAATGACCATACGAAGTCATACCCTGCTGCTGTTAGGAGCTCATAGATAACAATACCATCCTCCTAGAGGGCCATTCCATGTCTTTTTTGGATTAAAACATATCAAACGAATGTTGTTTACTTTAAATCTTATACCTGAATCTCGGAAACGGCTCCAACGATTTTCATAAAATTTAGTATACAGGGGATTTCGGGGGCGATAAATCGATCTAGCTACGATTTATTTTCAGAAAATGTTGTTTTATTCGTGTTTTCAATAATCAACTCTTCCCGACATCTATTGGCGAATAATAATAGTATTTTTCTTAATTGAGGGCAACTAACCGCTTTAAAGACGCAACAAGATGGCGTTAAAACCGAGCAAAGCTCGGTCATCATCTATTATCATTATGTACGAATACAGAACATCCAAAATGTTTTTACATATTCTCAAATATAATCTGCACGCGATAAAGAGGCGATTGTTATGCAACAGTGCGACAGCATTCCCCTCACTCCGTACACAAGTATACTAACAAATCCGTTGCAGATATAATGCACAAACAACTTGTTACACCGTCGGATTGTGTGCGAGAAGCGATCCCATTGATATATGCGGAGGCACGTGGCGCAGAGCACTCGGGGTCTGACCGGTTTATCCGACAAAATTATATCCGGTCGCTGAAAGAATTCGTCCCTGATCGAACGAGCTACGTAACTTTCAAGACGTTAATTTACTTTACTTATATCATCAAAACACAAATCATTATGCCAACATTATTTATTTATTTATAACTTTATATACTAAACAGAATAAAGGCGGACTTAATGCCATAGGCATTCTCTGACGGTCTACCTTAGGGGGGTGCAGAGATGAACCTTGATAGGTGTAGTGTGATAGTGATATTACTCAAACATACATAATATTTATAGATACAAATACTCGTACTTAAATAAATACATATATGTATATATAAAAATATATATAAATAAAAATTATCAAACATAAAATAAATTTGTGGAAAATTCAAGTTAAATCGATCGCTTTCTCTACGCGATTGTACTTACTATTGTGCTAAGTTTGGATTTATTTAAGTTAATACAGTGTTTAGGGCATAACGTTTTATTGTTACGTGACGAATATTTTGATTTTGAAACTAGAAGTGTAACGACTTGAGCAATTCGTGCAAAATTTAATTTCATCTAATGCATCTACTATACTATCATTAATATGTAAACTGTTATTGAAATTTGATTGAGAATTTTATTTTAATTGATATTAATAATTTTAGCTTAGAGGTCGACGCGCTATTAAAAAAACAAACAGAAAAATATACTTTTTTTTAGGTAAGCATACGACTTACTTGATGCTGAATGGTCATAGTCGCACATGGACGTCAACAATATCAGGGGCAAAGCCAAAAGGCTGCCTAAAGCTGAATGAACACCGCGGAAGGTAGGTAATTATAATGTCGCATGAAATGTGATCAAAAAGATCTCTGGAAACGCACGGTGGGTGATTTATTTTATTTTATTTTTATTGCCATAGTAGGCAGACAAGCATACGGCCCACCTGATGGAAAGTGGTCACCGTCGCTCATGGACGTCAGCAATGCCAGGGGCAGAGCCAAGCCGCTGCCTACCATTAAGTACTCTCCGCAAGCCTCGTTTGAATAAGAACATGTCATAGCGCTCGGAAAACACCGTGGAAGGGAGCTCATTCCAAAGCCGGATGGTACGTGGCAGAAAAGATCTTTGGAAACGCACTGTCGATGAACGCAGTGGTTCCAGATAATATGGATGAACTCTGTTCCGATGGAGGGAGGTGCGATCATAAAAAGGAGATGAAGGGATCATCTCGAATAATTCCTCAGGGCATTTCCCATGGACCATACGGTATAAAACACAGGAGTCCCACCGTGAATAGGTGGGAGGTGCGATGATAAAAACCATCATAGCGGTATCAGCTCAAAAAATTCCTCAGAGCACTCCCCATTGAACGTTGGATACAACAGAAGTGCCTTTATAGACAGAGGGGATCCAAACGATCCGGTTGCAAACTTTTTTTGAAGTGAGACTTCTTTAAACGCTTTGAGAGTAAAATTTAACACGCGACAGATTCGTTATGGCTAGAGAGAAAAGGTACACTCGACTGTGGAGAGAGGGAAAGGACAAAGCGAGTTAGGTCTTTCTCTTATACACAGCATTCCCTATTACCAGAGAAATTCAAAAGAAGTTTCACTTCTTCCACGTGCACCATTTTTTTTCTTTTTTAAATATAGATCACTTAAAAACACTATCTGTATATAACGATCAAATTTTGAAGAACACTTTGTAATTGATAAATATGATTTTAATTACACCAGTTCAGCGGTATCGTTCTTTTGATGTGTGTGTTTGTGCATGAATCGAACCTATTCGAATGTTTAATGTCCTAAAACTAAAATAATGGTGTCGTTGGACGCTAAAGAACATGTGAATAGCACTGGCCGTGCAGTTTGTCAACGTTAATGAGCATCCTCACATCCGGCGTCAGGACGCGAGGTCCGTCCACTCGGCTATCCGATACACGCGCACGCTTAACTACATAGAGCTCAAAACACTTTGGATACGGTATGTGAAACCGGTTATGGGTATGTGGTTTACTGGTGGTAGGACCTCTTGTGAATCCGCACGGGTAGGTACCACCACCCCGCCTATTTCTGCCATGAAGTAGTAATGCCTTCCGGTTAGAAGGTTGGGGCAGCTGTTGTACCTATACTGAGACCTTGGAACTCATATCTCAAGGTAGGTGGCGGCATTTACGTTATAGATGTCTATGGGCTCCCGTAACCAATTAACACCAACCAGGTGGGCCGTGAGCTCGTCCACAAACCCAAGCAATGAATAAAAAAATACAATATAACATATTATAATACATAAAAAACAATTGGCTTCGAGCACAGTTCGGATGCCGGATCCAAACGTCACTAGCTCGTTGCGCCGCTCATGTTTGCCCCGGACAAACAGAGTTGTAATGATACCTCGGCTAATTAAGGAGCCCGACTGCAAATACTTGGCCGCTAGAAGAGAGCGCGCGCCGTGAATTATTTATTTTACCCTCTTTGATTTCGTCTCGTACTGTCTACGGCTTAATTGCTTTGCAGTTGGTTTTGTTAAATAAGCGCGGTCGTCGAGTGGGGTTCGGTGATGCGGACCGGCCGGTATTGAAGTGTCTATGGGATACGGTAGCTGACTCCTCAGGTTAGAGCAGCGTGAGCTCATCTACTCGCCCGGTTACGCTGGCAAAACCCCCGATGTTACCAGATTAATACTAAATTAGTATGAATAGTATCCAGCGTAGCTGGCAGACGTGGGGTGCACGGTGTTATTAGTTATAAACATTTTTCTGACAGATATGAGTAGAAGAACTATTATTTCAATAATATCATATAGAAGAACTATTATTTCAATAATATCTTAAAAAGCACAACACGCTTTTTTTAAAATTAAATATATTTTACACATTTTCAATTTAAATTTATTAAAATTTATTTTCTATTTTTTAGTTGAATTTTATATAAAGCGTGTTTTTTAGTTTTTTTTAAACTATTATTTATTTTTCATTTTTTAGTTAAATTTTCTATAAGAGCGTATTTTTAAAACTATTACGTACTTTAATATCAATATCTGCCTTATCGACTATAGATAAAAATTATATAAATTGGCAAAAATCTTATTTTGCAAATTGAATAATGGAATAATCTTATCAAATTAGTGTATTGTCATCGGTCCTCGATAAATCTACAAAGTTTGAATTAAATCTGGCCGTATAAAGTGGGTCAAAATTGCGTCTAATGGAGTCAGTTACAAACATACAAACATACCAGTGAAGCTAATATAAAGCGTGTAATATCACATGTTAAACCTTTAAAACACTCACTAAGTTTCGAGATTATACAGTTTTAATGCGAGAAGACGATGGGTGTATATCGAAACTCGGTACGGATATCGATAATTCACCTGAACGATCTGATGGTCCAGTTCGGCGAGGGCTCGTAGGAGATGCGCGGTCCTGGCCGCTTTCACGAACCCTCCGCTGTGCTCCAAGACTGCTCCGGAAGCGAAGAGCATGCAGAACTCCGCCCTCGAACCACAGACGCTGGTCCCAAGGGCGCAACGCAGCGACTGGATGGCCGATAGCCGTTCTGAACCCTGAGAGTAAATTCAAATTGGACAACTTTTTTTTTTGCTTAGTTGGGGGGACGAGCTCACAGCCCACCTGGTGTTAAGTGGTTACTTAACACCAGGTGGGCTGTGGCCCATGGACATCTACAACGTAAATGCGTCACCCACCTTGAAATATAAGTTCTAAGGTCTCAGTATAGTTACAACGGCTACCTCACCCTTCACAAACCGAAACGCATTACTGCTTCACGGCAGAAATGGGCAGAGCGGTGGTACTTAACCGTGCGGACTCACAAGTGGTCCTACCACCACCTATCTGTGCAATGAAAACGGCTCTAGTGTAGCAATTTAGCACTCACGCTGTCAACCTCGCAGGGGTGGCATAGGTCTGCGCAGACCGTCAGCAACGTCTGGATGCTCTCCCTGACCTCGCCAGCCTTCTCGGCGCGTGAAATGCAGCCGCAAAGGCAGATGTAGCTGCAACAAATTAAGATCGTATAACGTACCTTCTAAAATCACGGAAACACGTGCCTCTTTATGCCCCGTAGCTATTCTGGATTCAAGTATACTAACGCACTTAGTACTGGCGGTAGGACCTCTTGTGAGTCCGCCCGGGTAGGTACCACCGCCCTGCCTATTTCTGCCGTGAAGCAGTAATGCGTTTCGGTTTGAAGGGTGGGCCAGCCGTGGTAACTATACTGAGACCTTGGAACTTATATCTCAAGCTGGGTGACGCATTTACGTTGTAGACGTCTATGGGCTCCAATAACCACTTAACACCAGGTGGTCTGTGAGCTCTTCGACCAATGTAAGCAATAAAAAAACAAAAAAAACTTACTATCTACGTGAAGTCGTTTTTCTCTAGGGCCTTAGAAAACTTCGCCTTACTAACTTGAGAGCATGTTTTTTTTTTCCTACGTATTCGCTGGTACGAGGGCTGCACTAAAAGTATCGGGGATGGAATATTTCCACTGTTCCTGTCATATTAAAATATTTTAATTGAAAACTTCTTGGTTTTAAAAATCGAATACCATTTATTTATTTAAAAAAGGATTCTTGGTCTTGTCACGAAGTTTTGTCAAACTTGTTTAGTCGTTGAGAAAATGGAATTGACTCGAGAAAATTCAACAGCGATGATTTATTATGACTTTCGAAGTGGTTTAACATAAAAACAGTGTGTTGACCGGATGATTTCTGCATTTGGTGATGAAGCCCCAACCAACCAAGCCAAAACCACAATTTATCGCTGGTTTGCTGAGTTTCAACGTGGACGTGTCAAGCTCAGTGATGATCGCCGTCAAGGTCGTCCAAAAACTGCAGTCACCCAAGAAAACGTTGATGCTGTGCGTAAGCTGATTGAGGAAGATCGACATGTGACATACCGCGAAATTCAGGCAACTTTAGACATTGGCATGAGTCAAATACAAATAATCTTGCATGAACAATTAGGTGTAAAAAAGTTGTTTTCCCGATGGATACCGCATTCGCTCTGTGAAGAGCAAAAAGCGGCTCGCGTTACTTGGTGCGTCAGAACTCTCGAAAGATTCCACGCAGGATCCTCAAATGCTGTATACAACATTGTATCAGGTGACGAATCCTGGATATACGCGTACGAACCCGAAACAAAAAACCAGTCACGAGTTTGGGTGTTCGAAAATGAGTTAAAGCCAACAAAAATTGTTCGTTCACGGAGTGTTGCAAAAAAAATGGTGGCCACGTTTGTCTCCAAAACCGGCCATGTTACGACTATTCCTCTTGAGGGACAAAGAACGGTTAATGCAGAATGGTATGCTAGCATTTGTTTGCCACAGGTCGTTTCTGAACTCCGTAAAGAGAACTGCAACCGCCGCATCATCCTCCATCACGACAATGCGAGTTCTCACACCGCGCACAGAACAAAAGAGTTTTTAGAGCAAGAAAACATAGAATTATTAGACCATCCGCCGTACAGCCCCGACCTAAGCCCTAATGATTTCTATACTTTCGCTAAAATAAAGAATAAATTGCGTGGACAGAGATTTTCATTACCTGAAGAAGCTGTGGACGCCGACAAAACGGCCATTTTGGAGACCCCAACTTCCGAATGGAATGGTTGCTTCAATGATTGGTTCCATCGTATGGAAAAATGTGTCAAATTTCGCGGAGAATACTTCGAAAAGCAATAAATACATTTTTAAATAGTAATGTTGTATCACTTCGTTAATTCCCGAAATTTTCAGTGCCGCCTATGTAGTCTAAGGGACTATTCAAGCTACACCTGGACGGGTAGGTGAGTTCACGGGCTCAACCTGAGAGAATTTGCTAACACTAGCCCTAGCAAGAGCTGTGCTTCGCAGAATCTACCGCCGGATCGGAAACGCTACCCGCTTAGAAAATCCGGCGAGAAACTCAGTGGGCTGTGTCTATGGGTTAATTTACTGTGACCGAACGGTGACCGGTGTTTGAGGTACCTAAAAGCACCGTTAATAAATCAGGAGGATTCGTAATGACGTGTTAAGGGCGACGTCGTCAGCTTACCATTCGGTCCACAGGATCGGGTGTGGTTAACTTTGTGGTTAGCTGGTGTTTCTACACAAGTACTAACTGTATATAGTAATTTAAATAAAGAATTAGAGAGAATGGAGATGATCTGGTGGTACTTTAAATACAATCTAACAGGTACTTAATCTACTACTTTTTCTAATGAAATATGTACTTAACAATTGTTCACAATTGACTTCCACGGTGAAGGAATAATAGCATCGTGAAATAAAAGTTCTCTTGCTAGGGCCAGTGTTAGCAACATCTCCCGGTTTGGGCCCCGAGAGCTCACCTACACGCTAGGGTAACGCTGATATAACCTCTGAAGGCTATCAGCATAGGTATAACCTAGCGACCCGCCCTCGCTTCGCTTCGGAAACTGTAATTTATTATTGATTTCTCCACTATTTAATGGATGTTATTATACATATAAACCTTCCTCTTCAATCACTCTATCTATTAAAAAAAACCGCATCAAAATCCGTTGCGCAGTTTTAAAGATTTAAGCATACATAGGGATATATATATATATATAGGGACAGAGAAAGCAACTTTGTTTTATACTATGTAGTGATAACTAAAAAATAAAAAAAACTTCAGAGGTGTCAAGGGACACCCGGATGGAACGAAGTTCCTTTCGATTAATTAGTGAAGGAATTGTAATTTTTTTTTTAAGTTATAATAATAAATTACGGCATTATGAAGAAGAAAAAAACAATACTATGAACTAAATTACTATTGTTGAAACGCTATCTCGAGAAACTGTACTCATTACGCGGACCAATCGGATACGAGCAATGTCACGCGATAAGCGCCTACACGTTGATTGGTCAGAATGACGGATCTAAAAAGTGTCGTGACAACTTTTCGTAAGAATTTTTTCCGTCTAGCTCCCTTTCACAACGCGCGATAAGGAACTTCGTTCCAATAAAACTTAACAAACGCAACGTAACAAAGCCCCTATAAGCCTTGAATTCAACTTAAAATCACAATTCTTTCGTATTGCGAAACAAACAGTACTCGTATCGATTAGTTAAACATCAAATCTGAGTCTGAAGCGTCTTCCACCTCGGTACGTATCCAATTATATCCGCGGTAAATATTTACATTGAGAAGGTAGAGGTGAGCGNACAATGCGAGTTCTCACACCGCGCACAGAACAAAAGAGTTTTTAGAGCAAGAAAACATAGAATTATTAGACCATCCGCCGTACAGCCCCGACCTAAGCCCTAATGATTTCTATACTTTCGCTAAAATAAAGAATAAATTGCGTGGACAGAGATTTTCATCACCTGAAGAAGCTGTGGACGCCTACAAAACGGCCATTTTGGAGACCCCAACTTCCGAATGGAATGGTTGCTTCAATGATTGGTTCCATCGTATGGAAAAATGTGTCAAATTTCGCGGAGAATACTTCGAAAAGCAATAAATACATTTTTAAATAGTAATGTTGTGTCACTTCGTTAATTCCCGAAATTTTCAGTGCCGCCTAGGTAGTCTAAGGGACTATTCAAGCTACACCTGGACGGGTAGGTGAGTTCACGGGCTCAACCTGAGAGAATTTGCTAACACTAGCCCTAGCAAGAGCAGCGCTTCGCAGAATCTACCACTGGTACGGAATCGTGACCCACTGAGAAGATCCGGGGAGAAACTCAGTGAGCTATGTCTATGGGTTAATTTACTGTGACCGGACAGTGACCGGTGCTTGAGGTACCTAGAAGCACCGTTAATGAATCAGGAGGATTCGTAATGACGTGTTTAGAGCGACGTCGACTGCTTACGATTCGGTCCACCGGATCGGGTATGGTTAAGTTTATGGTTAGCCGGTGTTAATGTATTGGAGAAAATGGAGATGATCGGGTACTTTAAATATATTTAATGAAATATGTACTTAACAATTGTTCACGATTGACTTCCACGGTGAAGGAATAATAGCATCGTGTAATAAAAGTTCTCTTGCTAAGGCCAGTGTTAGCAATATCTCCCGGTTTGAGCCCCGACAGCTCACCTACACGCTAGGGCAACGCTGATATAACATCTGAAGGCTATCAGCATAGGTATAAACTAGCAACCCGCCCTCGCTGCGCTTAAGAAACTGTAATTTATTATTGATTTCTCCACTATATAATGGATGTTATTATACATATAAACCTTCCTCTTCAATCACTATCTATTAAAAAAAACCGCATCAAAATCCGTTGCGTAGTTTTAAAGATTTAAGCATACATAGGGACAGACAGATATAGGGACAGAGAAAGCAACTTTGTTTTATACTATGTCGTGATGATAACTAAAAAATAAAAATAAAACTTAACAAACGCGACGTAACAAAGCCCCTATACATAAGCCTTAAAATATTCAACTTAAAATCACAATTCTTTCGTATTGCGAAACAAACAGTACTCGTATCGATTAGTTAAACATCAAATCTGAGTCTGAAGCGTCTTCCACCTCGGTACGTATCCAATTATATCCGCGGTAAATATTTACTTTGAGAAGGTAGAGGTGAGCGCTTCTCAAACTCATTTAGCCCACGAATTAATAATCGAATAGACATCATCTGTTTCACTTATTTGTAATTGTTTTATTTATCGTGCTTTATGGGATTTTGTTTTTTATTTTTTATTGCTTAGATGGGTGGACGAGCTCACAGCCCACCTGGTGTTAAGTGGTTACTGGAGCCCATAGACATCTACAACGTAAATGCACCACACATCTTGAAATATATGTATAAGTTCTAACGTCTCAAGTATAGTTGCAATGGCTGCCCCACCTTTCAAACCGAAACGAATTACTGCTTCACGGCAGAAATAGGCAGGGTGGTGGTACCTACCCGCGCGGACTCCCAAGAGGTCCTACCACCAGTAATTACGCAAATTATAATTTTTGCGGGTTTGATTTTGATTACACGATTTTATTCCTTCACCGTGGAAGTCAATCGTGAACATTTGTTGAGT